GTGACTTGTCTTACAGTTTGTAATGCGGCTACTTCAAATGGACAACACTCTACGTATTGGCATTTTTGTCTGTGGGATAGGCGCGTCATTCTCGTACAAAATCGTAAACCCACGAGGCGACCACAGCATATTTCTCACAAAAATATCGCAAATATTTGCTGCGACTCCTAAATCGTCACGGGTGTGTTTCGTGCCAGGATCAGCTGATTTTGTGTTGTAACACCGCATTACCCCATAGTTTGTCATACAGACCCTAAAACAAATATATCCAAGAAAGCCCATGCAAGTCTAGAATATATGGCAAGTCTAGATTTCCACAGTTTCAAGAATATTTCTGAAAATGAAGATTCTCAGGTCTCCTTTTCATTATATATATATTTTTTTATTATGAACTGTAAACAATATTCATTTCAGAGACTAGTTGCTATTCTACATCACCCCTCAACGATCCTTATTTTGTCTTCCTCCGTCTAATCTAACTGTTGTAGAAGACTTAAACACGGGGTTTTGCCTCGTATCAAACTGACGTCTTGACTTTGTAAATTACTTGTTAAAGCATCATTAAAATCCTCCACTCCTACGTTTTCCTCTTCGGTTCGAGGATTGCGGCATTTGGCCCTCAGTCATCCCAAGATTCGACCACCGTGGGTGCGAACTCCATCAAGCTGACACCGTGTTAAAATGGCTATTTTCAATAAAGTAATTACAGCCAAGAAAAGTAATTGGACTTGAGAACTTCTATTTTGAAAAACAACAACTTATATCAGACCGACTAGATATATGTAACACTTATGTAAAGAAAATGTTCACACCTTTCGCTAAGGTGACTCGAGTCTAGGTGGTGTTTGGTCCTGTGCATAGAACTAGGCCACAAAGCAGTTTAAGTTAAGCAACGTTGGGGAGTCCTTGGATGGGTGACCTTGTTTGGCAGCTTGACTCCTGAGAGTTTCTAGGACTTCAGTCCTGTCCCAAAACCAAGCACATGTGAACTCACCTTGGGCAAGTGAGTTTGTTCACAATTGCCTCTGTTCGCCCAGCAGAAAATGGGTACCAGGTGGGATGTCATGTAACTATAACCTTCTTGCGCCTCACGGGCAGCTTGGGTTATCCGGGGTAATGATGAACTGCCTGCACTATGAGCATGCTGTCGGTGTGGAATTAATATTATTATTATCTTTGTGCGTATGGTTATAAGCTAGAACAGCAGAAAAACATCGCTGCGTGCCGCCATATTGCTGGAATATTGTTGGGTGCGGCGTTAAACAACAAACCAAATCATCACATGCGTGCTTCTTGAATCTTTCTCTCCATGACGTTTTGCGAAGGATTATGGCGAAATGTTTGCCGGTTCAGAAATGCCCAGGATCCTTGTTAACCGATAAGATGAAAGTCTCCAGTACACCATGCCCTATGTACGTCTGAAATCGTGAGTTGGTTATCATGGTGGTTTGGGGTGGGATGCCACTGGGTGTGGTCTTCACTAATTCGTCACAACTCGCATCTTTTCGTCATTAGCCATTCGGCATATCCCGGATCGAGCTCGAGCCTTGTGTTTGGGGAATGTACAATAATTTATAGCAAAATCTTAGTTCAGATTAGTATATAATATCACGTCCCCCCAGCGCACCTTGATCATATGATCAATGGGGATTCGGCCATAGTGAGATGGGTCAAAAGCCGCTGTGAACAGGCTCCCAGTTACATCACGGAGTGTCAGCTTAATGTGGCAGAACCTGAATTGATGCAGATCTCAAACATTTACTAACTGAAACCACCCCCTGCAGGGGTATGTACTGAATAATCTAGGAACATCATAGAAGCAGAACGGATTCAAACCCACGATCATTGCTTCAAGTGTGGTCAAGGGAGGCAACTCCACAAATAGAATCGTGACGCTTCAGACGATTGGACCATCCCATATTCTCCCTAATGTATAACATACAAAATAAAAGAGTACACACTTAATGGTTTGGGATCATTTTCCAAAAGACAACGTAAATATTTCGCAGTGTTTTGATCATGACTTACTAGTGACAAACAGTGTCTAAAAGTTGAAAAAAACCCACCATACATAACGTATCCAGATGGGACGCTGCCACCGCCTGGCGTCCCTAGCCCGACGTGTATAGTAATGAATGTCGACATAGGAGGGCGTGATGAATGACCAAAGAAGAACCACCTATAGGCTATCTAGACACGTATATACACGGTAACTTCCCAAAACCCCTACATCCCATAACCCATACAGCTTATAACAAAGTTCATGGTCCAGTGCACTGCTAATCTCATGCCTGTTACCTATTTCATACAATGGACCAGCCTAAACACTTAGCAGCTAGAGAATGATTTTAATGAGCAATAACTAAACTAAGAGTTTGCGAGAATGGTTTTCTTGGTTGATAACAAAAATATTTTAAGGTTCAATAATATTGAACTTGAGGTTTAATTAACTTCATTAAATATCATGATGTCATAACATATTAAATGGGTCTTTTTAATGTTTTTTTTCCTACATGTTATCTGTCAACCTTAAGCAAACTGGTTTTACCATGTTCCAGCCTCCCGATCCCCATTTTGTTGGACTTTTTATCTTGGTACCCTCCCCCAAAAACGCAAAATCTGCAATAAATGCATCACAAATTTTAGGAAACAAAATATGCCAGAACAATTTTGTGTGTCTGAGATAGGCAGAAGTCCGCTAGAATCAAACTTAGATATTAAAGTGCACAAAAAAGCAATTTGAAACTACAGTCGCTTGTTATAGTGATTCCCAACTTCATGTTTACTAAAAGAGCTTGTTTTGGAGACACTATCCACCCACTTTCAGATAACATAATCATAAGAACATAATTTATTCTCATGTTTTCACATATTCATACATGATGCCAAGGGTTCAAACTAAATACTGAAGCCCCGTCTAAATGTAAATTAAAAAATCCAAATCTTTGAATGTTGATTATGACGGTAGTCATCCAATACTATACTGAACATATTCTATATGATATTTTCTGAAGTCATACCATTATCCATTATCTCAGTTTACTGTCTCCAACACTATTACAACTGATATTATTACCATTTGCAAAATATGTCTTCTCACTACGTACATCAGGAAGCTGAAAAAACTAGTTCAACATTTATTTCATCTCAGATATTTAAAATGAATTATTAAAACCCTAATAACAACAGCACAATCTTATTCCCTTCTCATCTGCATACTCTGTGTAGCTTAATCTCACACTGTATACTCCACCCTGTAATCTCTCCTTTGGTCAGTTCATTATGCCAGACAGGTAAATGCCGCATGTTGTTTTAACTAATTGTAGGGGTACTGGGCTGTAGGGGTTTTGGGAGACAACCATATACACCATATACAACACTATATATAGCCGCTGATGTGTGCTATTTACAAGTCTGGTAAAATATCTTATTATTTCTCGTTCCAAATTAGTGAGTATGGTTTGAAAAGGACGGGGGGAAACATTTAGTTGAAGCTATTATCTAATAACACAGGTCGTTGGTTTTATCAGGTTGTCCATATATGACATGGATTCCCGGTGTTTATAGTGCCTGCTCAGGTTCCGACATTGGTCTGTGTGTATAACGTCACGTTGACTATGTATAAGTCCTATAATTAGAACTAATCATCCTTGTTGTTATCTTTAACATTTATGTGAACGTAGACACTTTTGCCCTTCGGTTTGTATTTAGGCCGAGCACGGGGTCAGTACTGACAAGATATATGATTTAATTCTTATATTTACTTGTCGTAAAATTATTCTCGCGGAGAGATTATCATTACCATATCTCATCATAACATAATTATATAATATATCAACAAGTGCCTCATATTCGGGCTGTATTACCCAACGTGAAAAGAGTTCTCACAATATCCGGGTAATGCTACTACACAAAACTCCCACCATGCACCAGTGGTGGAGCTGGTCAGGAAACACGTCCGGAAGACAGAAACAAAATGACACTGCAGTAACACTAACCACAACCGACATTCGGGATGTGTGTCGTTACAGATAACTCGCCTGCTATTTGAACTATTTCCTCTTGGCGATACAGTTCATAAATACCCGATGATATTTCATGCCGGTATTTATAAACTTCGGCATATGAATCCTGTTGTCTTTTACTGTTCCTACGCACAGGCGAAGCAGTTCATGAATGCAAAGTTGTTTGGACTAGGTGATGGTGATTTAAAGCGTATGAATACTCGCACACGAAATAGTGTCGGTATGTAAGTATATGTGTTAAGGACGAAAAACAGGTGTGATCTCAGAATGAAAGAGACAAGAGTTATCTCCCTTTTCCGAAATTCAAATTTGACACCTACCTCACAAAACATTGTGTAGATCCATTACAAATTGATAGAAAGTTATAATTCTTTTTTTGCAAATGATTGTCTCTATATCTGTCCATCCAAAATGAGAAAAAATACAAAGTACAAAGACGTACTTAACATTATGATTTTATTAAAGCCAAATGTGTTGGCTTTCATATGATATATAATATGTCACCCTTTCTTTGTATTTCATATTTTTAAAAAAATCAACATTTACAGTAGTGGGGTACCTAGTGTGTGAAAAAAACGTTGACTAGTAAGACTTACATATTCTAAAAATTCAGATATTTTTCCATAGGAACCAATGTTCAAATGTTTTGGACCTCTGAGGTAAATAAATCATGCCTTATCTCTTGGGGAGGGTTATCCGAGACAGGTGCATGCCCACACTGCCCACACATTTCTCTAATACTAAAACCCTGAACGAGACAAATATACAGCTTGGTCAGATTCAGTCTCACTGGGACTCTTTTTCAAATCAAATGGAGTTTAATTGTTTCTATCAGAGTTTTATATTTTCATTGACTAAGTGTTAGTTTGGCTAAGTCATCAATGAGCCGAAGTGTACAGCGCAGAGGAACGTGAAACATACAACCAGTTTAGAACAGGAACTCGGTCGTTGATTAGAGTTGTCTCCCTTACATCCCTCTCTTGTTACGAAAACATGTTGCCTTAGTAGTAGAATGTTTGTAAATAAGTTTGGACCGTTCTGACAGCATTTTTTGAGTTACAAGGACGTCCTTTTCCTACAACGTACGACAATGAGTTACTACGGCGGTGCCTACCAACAGCACCCGTACAGCGGGCAACAGCAGCCTGCGTACGGGCAGCAGTATCAACAACCCTACCAACAGCCAGCTTACAACCAACCGCACCTGCAGCAGTACAATCAACAGTGGCAGCAGAGTCAGCACTACGGCCAGTATGGCAGCTATTACCAACAGAATGTCTTCTCCGTTCAGGCACACCAGGTACACTTCTTGGAATACATCGCCCAATGTCCTTATTAGTATTCTGTAGTATAAACTGACATTAGCCTAGAATGTCAACGCCCATGAAGTGACAAGACAGTTGGGTCTCTGACACTACTCACCAAATACAACACTATCTTTAACCAGCTAGGTCATCACTTGTCACTGCAATCAACGTGTCATGGATGCAGTGTGCGAAATAGTTTCCAAATTTTGCAAGCCAGACAGGCTAGCTATGCCTGAAAGTTACTAGCCCACAAAATTATTCACTGGCCCGAGATTTGAATGTTGACACGGGTTTCATTAGTAAGCTGCAAATATGATGAACATTTTTATCAGGCCATAATCTTGCATGATTTAAAAGTGTATTATAACTTAACAATTCGGAGAGAGTGATATACATGTATTTACAAAATGACCCCTTGAAAATTCACTAGCCAGTCTGGCCAGTGACTGTGGAGATCACTGCATGGATGCCTAGAAAAAATATATCATACAAATTTGATATCACTTATGAAATCAATATGCTCAAACTAAAGACCATACAATTTACTTAGTTGTTACTGTATTTCAGGCTTTCCAGTTCAACAGTGTTGATGAGCTTCGCCATGTATTTATGTCTGAGATGTCCAAGAATCCTGAGAACCAAGTGAGTGAGTTAATGAGTTTAGTTTTAGGCCGCACTCAGCAATATTCCAGCTATATGGTGGAGGTTAGTAGATAATCAAGTCTGGACCAGACAATCCAGTGATCAACAGCATGAACATCAATCTATGCAACTGGGATATGATGACGTGTCAACCAAGTCAGCGAGTCTGACCACCCGATCCCGTTAGTCGCCTCTTACGACAAGCATGGGTTACTGAAGACCAATTCTAACCCGGGTCTTGAGAACCAAAGTAACACATCTATAAAATCATCATCATATTTAGTCACAGTAGCATTTGTTACTTATTGATTCCCAAGTTGAAACTAAATAATCAAGCAGGACTCAGTCTGTAGGAAAACAAGGCGTGAAACCGACAAACAACAATTAAATGTGATGCAATGAACAATTGCTTGAAAAAAGTTTCATGAAAAATTGAAAATATTCTGTGCATTAGAGGAGGGTTCCATAACATTCCATCACTGTGTCAATATAGTCTAAATATGGCACACCACTGCCCCTCACTGACTCTACAGGTACAATATATAACACTGCCTCACATTCAGCAACATTTTTATGATAGATGTGAACATTTTCTTATAGAGTAGGAATGCAATTCAAGCTGAGGACTTGGTGAATATTCTGAACAACACACCAAGTATAAGGAATCACTTCAGAGGTAAGGGAGACCACAAGTACTGGGTAGACATAGTGGAGAAGCTATCACTGGTGGCATGACAGGGCTCGATTTAGTGCTTTGTTACTTGCACTGGTGCAACCCAATAATACAAAGTGAAATCTAGTTGTTAGTCTAACTTGCACCAGGTGTAAGTCAAGTTTCGAGACTGACTGACTGAGTTTGGTTTTACGCCGCTTTTAGCAATATTCCAGCAATATCCAGCAATATCACGGCGGGGGACACCAGAAATGGGCTTCACACATTGTACCCATGTGGGGATTCGATCCCGGGTCTTCGGCGTGACGAGCCAACGCTTTAACCACTAGGCTACCCCACCGCCCCTCAAGTTTCGAGAATAAATCAACAATAAATCTAACATTATAAGCATAAATATGTCAGCTCATATTTCTTCTAAACTTTGAATAGCAATGGTACCAAAACATTGCTATTTATAGACACCTCTTGGCTATGACAGCTCCAGTAAACTGGAACCAGCTGTGTCTCTGTGTTGCTATGGTTTCATGGGTATAACATCACGGAAATATGTTTATGTGCACCGAAACCTCTGACGTTTTAACACACTACGTTGCAACTGGAATGTGGCTGGTGCAACTAGGTTTTTATCTTAGGTTGCACCTAGTGCAAGTAGGTTAACATCTCTTAAATCGAGCCCTACATGACACTGGTATATGGGCAGTCTTGTAATTATAATGCGTCAAGAATCAAGAAGTATGTATCAAACTATTTTGGGGCATACTAGTAATGGACTGCAGCATTACTATGTCAATGTTTGTAATAAATGAACTGCAGTAGAACTAAGAAACATGGAAAATATCTCGGGGTAGGATCTGTAATAAAATACCCATGATTTTCTCTCTAATTGATTGTGTGGAAAGTTGCATTGAGGATATTTTTCTGTTGCCATTTCAGTGAACTGGAGTCGTGAATTATGCAGGTAATTTAATTTGTTGTCAATATAATTTCAACTATTTTAAAATTTAAATGCATTATTATTCTATAATGTCCTCAAAACAGTACTTAGATACATTTGAACAATTGTGAGATTGACATGTACGATGAATGACATGTATTCTTTAACAGCAAATAGAATAAAGATTATACTGTAACACTATACATAGCTTTAGTTTGATCTACTGTAGAATCTACACTCACAGATGGATTTCTCAGTGAATTTTGAAAATGTAAACCAACAGCCTTTCATTATTTAAGGAATTGGCAAGCATACCACTGAGGAGATTCAGTAACTTTTTTACACAAGGTTTGCTTACAATTAAAATAGGTATCCAAACTGTTTCCTGTGTAAAGTCTGTCCTATAACTATGAATACATGCAACCTTTCCTTCCACTGGTCATGTTTATCTTGTGTATATCTGTTTTCATTTTTTCCCAGCATAATGATCGCCATGTTGGATGTATCCTTGACATGGGATTTTCTGAGATTCCCTGCTACTAGACGTGGAAGACAGGAGACATACTAAATGTAGGAGTTATCTTGAGATTCAGTAAAGTCACATGTGTTATATATAGTAGGGTATGTTTGTGATAGCTAAGTATGGTATCCATACATTTCTTTCATTAGGACTGTGTATTGACAAATAAACTGTATTGCAAGATATTGCGATTTTTGTACCCGTAGTGCGATATGTATTGCGATATATTGGGAACTTAAATGTTTGATAGTAAGTGACACTAATTGTACATGTCATTCCTATTTTCTACATTATAAGTCCCTAAACATATGTGTTATGGTTCTGATAACAGTAATCTCAAAATTAGGTTGCATTCTCTGGGATTCTAGTGTCTATTATGTACAATTTATAGTATTACTGTATGCCATTTTGTCATTGAATAACAAAGGAAAACATCTATTGTGAATGAAAGTCAATTTACATTTTAATTTAAACCATAAAAATCATCATAGAAATCTTCATAGATGTTCTTTACCCAATATACCAGTTCTCAGAAAAAATATTACAATACATATCGTTTGAAAAACGTATTGCGAGATACCTATACATGTATACCAGTAATACTGTGTAGTCCTACTTTTCATAGTGTTTACAGTACGTGCCTGACTGACATTCAGTAAAGCCACAAGTGTTGTATGGTAGGGTATGTTTGTAACAGCTAAGTAAGATACCTTTTCAGCCTTTTAATAGAGTTTGCAATACCCATGTGCCTGACAGTCTGAGACGGGCTTTTTCTCTCTCATTGTCCATTTCTTTTAACATATGCTGAATATGGGCATTGTTTTGTATATTTCGACTAATGATAATCCTGATCTAATGATCTGGAAAAGTGATCTGTAATCCAAGTGTGAGTCTATACAGCATGGTACACCAGTTTCCCTGAGCTTGTACAGAAATCCCAAGATGGCTTCATGCAGTGGGAGGAGTTCCTGGAGCTCCAGCAGTGTCTGGTGGCCTGGCACAACGTCTTCTGTCAGCATGACGCAAACCGGTCCGGCTACATCGAGTCGTGTGAGCTAGTCAGGGTCATCACTGGTCTATTTGGTAGGTGTTTATTCAACTTATTTTCATTCCTGAGGTCTACTCCAAGTCATATTCACATTGAAGGAAAACCAAGTTCTATGGATAGTTACCTTCTTTATTACAATGAATGCAATGTTCCGGTGTAGACACTAGCTTGATAAAAGTGGTAGTTTACACCCTAACGTTGCATTCATGGCAATAAAGAAGGTAACTATCCATAGAATTTGGATTTCCTTCATCTTTGCAAACTTCGAAAATGCCTCTCAAAGAAGACATATTCACGTTCTAAGATTTTCTGTCTCTGAACCATTTCTGGTGTCCCCCGCCGTGATGTTGCTGGAATATTGCTAAAAACGGCGTAAAACCAAACTCAGTCAGTCAGTCTGTCTCTGAATGCTTACGGTGTAATGGTGTTTTTGTAGCTTAAGATAGACCCATAGGTATAACTGTGAAATACTACAAAGAGTTAAAGAAACCACTAAACTTTGGTTTTTTTCTCAAGTTACCATCTTTTTAACCATTATTATATGAAAGATTTGTGGTTAGTCTTTTTAACCATTACGGAACACACCAAATTTATTCTTTAAAAACTTGTGGTTAATTAATACCGAGCGATTAAAAGTGGCCAAAAAGTCGCCTGCTTCCCTCTCGCCCGCCAACGAAACCACAGACAGGTTACGTAACTCTGTCGCCAGAGCACTGCAGTGACGTCATATGAGGAACGATTTTCAGTTAGTTGTATAGAAAGTGTGTAGCACGCTCATCATTTTGATGATTTCTCGACATGAACGACGACATGCCGAATCGTTGCTTTGTCGTCAATTGCTCCTAGGGGTCGGGTGATGGTGTCACCATGCACAGATTTCCACAGGACCCCGCAGTTCGTGCTAAATGGGTTATGTTTGTGAGTGCGAAGCGAGCGTTGTGGAAGCCTGAAACGATATCTTACTTGTGTTCAGATCGCTTCACGGAAGTTAAAGAATCAAAACTACTTACTAGTTATAGTAAAATATGTATATGATTGATGACCATAAAGATTTTCCATAACACAACTTGTAACATAACGATTTCTTCCTCGGAAGTGAGGTTGTGGTCGAAGTAACAATAATATTGTAAGTAGTATTATATTGACACCCACCTCGCTGCCAGGAGAGAAATTGTTATGTTATACGCTATGTCATGCAAAATCCTATTGGCCATCAATAAAATACATATTTTACTACCAGTAGAAAGTAGTTTTGATTTTGTAACTCGGTGAAAACAAACCTAAATAGCATTTATCCACAGACTGGTGGATGTTCCCGACAGGGCGCCGCCATTTTTGAAAATCGTAAAGTCTGTTAGAATTAATGAGATTATAGTTTGTTTTCATCAAGTTAGAAAATCAAAACTACTTTCTACTCGTAGTTAAATATGTATTGGAATCATAACCAAAAGGATTTTGCATGACACAACTTATAACATAACGATTTCTTCCACGGAAGCGAGGTGGGGTCGAAGTCACAATACTGCGCGATAAATTTCTTGCTACATTCACATGGTTAATGTCCACTCACCAGAATGTAGATACTAGTCAATGTGCGTCTTTATATTTGGTCTTATAATCCTAATTAGTTTATTATCATACTTTTATGCATTTTGAAACTAAATAAAAGCTGACGATCTGCTGATACTTATAGTGAATTTATAACAGAACTGTAATATCTAGACATTTTATAGTTTGCCAATGTGAATCATAATTCGCACACACACCCTAGTGTATGTTGTCTGTCTCATTACACTTCACGGCGAAAACAATGATTCTGTTGAATGCTACGACAAATGAATAAAAACAAAATGCAAATATTAAAATTAAAACAGATTAAAGTTATAGGAACAATATCAGGCCATTACCTTGTTTGAGGAATGTATCCATCAATATCCACAAAACTGTTCCAAATGATGTGTCTTTTAACAGTTTAATATACGAAAAAGTGATAAATCTTTTCAGGTATTGGTGTATAGTCTCATTGGTCACCCAAGATAGCACACCTGGCAACTAATTGCATAATGTCCGCCTTTCATTAAAAACAGTAATTTAGTTAGCCAATAATGGGCAATCAATCAATGTATTGCCGGTTAATCCTTTGAAAGAAGGACGTTGTTTTTACGCAGACACCGACACGGCAGAGTGTATTCAGTATAGATTAGTAAATCTACATACATAAACACTACCTTTGACAATTCCGCTGTGTAAGATAAAAGTAATTAATCAATCAGCGTGTTATCGGTTAATCCTTTGATCGATGTTTATAATGTTGAATATTTACTCCAGACACAAGAAATGCCAAATGGGAACCTTTGTCGGGTAATCTAAGTGTGTTACCACTAATTATACCTGTTATAAATTCATTAACTGACCATCAAGTGAATGATGACAAATAACATGTGTAGGTTTATACCACCTAACACGGGTTACAACAAGGGAGTATTAATTGCTGTATTGCATGTGAAAACTTATGGGCCGACACTGTTTTGAGAATACAAACAGATTTTTACATGACATGATTAAATATCGAGGTAAAAAAACACAGAAATGGGATCAATTTGGATCAGTCATTATACAAATAGGGCCTAACGACACCAATCAATTGTGACAGAAGCGTCTATGAAAACAAGTTGTAACTCGGAAACTAGGCAAAGCAGGAGACAAAATTAAATGCCAGTAGATTGTGAGAACATATAGCTTTCATTTTCCACAACAATTGTCACGATTTCAGGTTTATACAAGCCTGTAAACAAGATAATTTACCCCCTAAAATGTAGATGAATTCTGCATCGGCCCTCAAAGCTATTCCTCATATGACGTCACAGAGTCGCGCCGCTCTGATTGGTTGAAATTTCGTTCGCGGGTGAGAATTGTGCACTGTTGTCAAAAAGGTCGATTTAAGTCAATTAAAGGTCGAAATGAGTAGTTTTAATGACGGGGTTTCATTTATAACGATGCCAGTTAGTGATTTATGTATTTTACCCCTAGGGTTTATGTGACCTTATGCATTTAGATACTCCAGAGTTGTCCCCCCTGGGCGGTGTCTGGTGGCATTTGATGACTTTGTGTCTGTCTCAGTCAGACTACGGGCATACACTGGTGAGGCTTCTGTTGGGGATAAGTGTAAGGAGATATGTCCTTTCAGTAGGTAGGACAGTATGGGCTGTATTCAATGGAGTCTTCATGTCCAACGAATCACACATTTCTCATTTCTTTTATGAAAGTCTACTCTTATTGAAAATATTATTTCATGAAATAGGTAACTTTCTTTTTTCAAATGATCATGTTATGTAAAGAACTACGTTTCATTTCTAACAGCATTTTTTAACTGGAACTGTGTATAAGATGGTTCTACGCTGAAGGCACAAAACCCTATATGGTTACTTTTATGTGTATGTCAAACCTCACACTGTTGGAGTAGGATATGCTTATGTATCGTACATTTTCTGATAGAGGCAGGAAGCCGGGGGCTGGAAAATTGCTGACATCAGCCTGAAATAACATGCATTGTTTACCTTCAATTGGTTATCAGGTAGTGTAAGTACTGGTATTGTTGTTGTTTGTTTCAAGACGCCTTCAGGAAGAGGGACGCCCTGAGCAATGGAGGGGAGACAGGGAGAAGCGTGTTTGGCTATGATGATGTGAGTTGTTTGTATGTGTATGACATAGTGAGGTATATACTACAGTCAGGAAGATGTGGGTAGACAGTGGGGATGACATTAAAAGTGTGCTATAAATTACAGTCATTAAGATGTAAGTATATTGTTTGTGTATGACATTAACAGTGTGCTATATGCTACAGGCAGTAACATCATTAGCTGTAGATTTTCAGCATTACATGTCTTCTGTCATAAACTGAAGATTTCTTCAATGAAAGACACTTTGCTAGGTGGATAAGTGACTGAAGGTACTGAGATTCTAGATTCAGCAGTTCCTATGACATACAAAGATAATATTTAAATGTTTCAGTTTCTGAGATGTGTGATGTGTCTGTGATATTCTTCAACCAAAGAGGCCTTCATAAGATCCAGTAAGTGTTGAGACAATCCAGCAAACATGTTTCTTAATATATTATCACAATAAGTATTACAACACTATTATATCGCCATTCAGGTAGACATGTGACCTCTAAACCCAGGAAAACATATTTCCAAATTTCTAAATGCTTACCAGATAGGTTGAAGGTTGTCATTTTCTGCTACGAGAAAAGATGCTATGACATATTTTTCAAATATTGTGAAGAATGCAGGAAATGGGAGTGAGTGGGTTTTATGCGGCACTCAGCAATATTCCAGCTATATGTTGGCGGTCTGTAAATAATGGAGTCTGGACCAGACAGTCCAGTGATCAGCAACATGAGCATCGATCTACACAGTTGGGATACGATGACATGTGTCAACCAATTCAATGCACCTGACCACCCCATCATGTTAATTGCCTCTTACGCCAAGCATGGGTTACTGAAGATCAATTCTAACCCGGATCTTCGCTGGTCTACAGGAATGGGAATTAAGAATAATAAATAACATTACCAAAAAGCACTTATTTTTATATTTGCTGGTTTCAATTTTCAGCAAAATGTCGTTGGATATCCTTTTAAATGTGAAAAATAAGTTTGCTATATATGAAATGTGTTACATACATTTTGAATGTCTGATCATGTGTATATCCTTCTCTGTTATGACTTTTCTGAGTTCTGAGTGCTACAAATATTCCAGATAAAGTCAGATGTGCCAAAACACGGAGGATGTGTTTTAAACCGATAGTATGAAATTATTGTCGATTCAGATGTGAAATAGGACTGCATTTTCATCATTTGTTCTACTGTTGAATTTGTTCATTGCTGAATATTTTCAGATACTCACCATTGAAAACCAGAGATCCTTATCCTCAAGCAGGCATTCATCTTGGGCCATGTGTTGATATGGTGGTTCCATCAGAGGTTGTTGGAGATGCTATGAAGGTGTCAGAGGCTTCTACTTCACATGAAAAACCACAAGTGTAAAACTGGAGACACTGCAGGGATATTAGTTTCCCCGGAGTTGTGTCATTTTATGAAAATGCTGTAAAATTGCTGATTCTTCCTTAAAGGTCACATGCAACCAGAAAATCAAACATAATTAAAACACAATTATCACTTATTCATGACATATAATATACATTGCTGGTTATGAAAAAACATACAAACAAAATTATAAGCGTACAATCGCAAATCAAAAGTGCAATATTGTGTACTTGGGTTTACTTCCCAAGAAACGAAGCAGCCGGGATACCGAACCCAGTCAGAGCGGGTGGGTGTGCACTCAAGTGTAACGGCTGGTTCATTTGCAGATGCCGCCCTCATGCACGGCTCATTGTGTGTGTATATATAGAGATGTTGGGTTTTGTAAATACATGCTCATTTTTTGTGTATAAAATTTTGCAATCAGCAGACATCATAACATGTCATGTGTTCAAGTATCACACCTGCCTGTCTGTAATTACATAATGTGACAGAGACCGAACTCGGGCCATAAATCAATGGATTTTGTTTATGGTGTATAGCCTGATTGGTGTTAAGTTCAAATTGCATGTGGTAAGTGATAGCAGCTGTGTATTGAATATTGTCATTAGCAGACAGGCAGGCAGACACACAGGTGTCAATAAAACAAGACATTGAGTTTTTGACATTGAACGACATATCTATATCACAGTTAGGAATTCTGTCAACGCTAAATAATGACATTGCTTTTAAGTATCGAACTGAGAAAGTGACTCGGTAAGAAGAACGTGTGGTGAAATAGACAAATGAAATTATATAAACATTTAATTTACTGTCATAACATATAAAAAGCTCGCGCCTGTGAGATATCAACAAAACATTAGAAAAATAGCTCACACCAAAGCCTTCACCGAGTATTCACCGGACAACCCGCTTCCAAGCTGCGCGAACCTATTTCACTGCGCACGCATATGAGCGCAGCCCAGCTGTTGAAACCCATTTTCCCCAGAAAAGTCGGGGAAAATTAGTGAAACGCTTTGAACTCCGATTTCGCGTGTTTTTTTCATCGCGTTTTTTTTCAACTTTATAACTTGAATTTGCATTTTTGACGCTTTGTTTCGGTAAGTCCATACCGAAAGGTATCAGAATCTGCAAAGTTGTGTTTTACGTTGCATGTGACCTTTAAGGAATATTCAGCAAGTTTGTTTTTTTCTGTTTTACTGTAACCATACTCATAAATGAAAGTGATGGAAGCTGAAAACCAGTTAGAGGGTTATGAGGTCCATGCTACTGTAGCAAGGTATGGGGGCACAGCAAAGATCTGTTGTTATTATGGCTCATCTTGCATCAGCAGTAGTATGGACATAATAGCATGTCAGAACAAACTTTGTAGTAACCAGTGATAGGGGTATGTTTGCTCATCAATTTATTGCACCTCATTAGAGTGCACAATGATGATAATCTACTCCTTGTGGTGGTACTGCATCAACAGTAGAGTAGCAGTTCATGTACTGCACTATGTAGGCTACAGATATTGGTGGCAGTGTTGATCCTGATATCAGAACATATATTTTACCAGGCATGTTCTTCATGTTGAATGTTACACACATGTTGTCTGCCTTATTAGCCCAGTGGGAGACATCAAACACCCTGGATACTGATTATATCCTTTCAAAGCAAAACCTTGAAAAACTTGCTTGAAAAGGATAAAGCTGGTGATCTGACACTTCACAGTATCAGTTGATTGGTATAATATATGGGGTTTCTCTTAATGTTTTGTTTTTGTACATAATTTCAGGACTTTTGTTGTTTGTTTTACCTCTGTGATGACTGTTATAGCCTAACCAGCTGCTGACCTTGCAACTTAGTACAAAGCAATAGTGTAAGACATTTAACAGTGATCAGTTTTAAGGTTTTTCATGATTTTTCAGATGATGAGTAAAGCCTTTATTCATGTTGTAACTTTGAGATTTTATGAGTGGGATATATCCTATCCATGGCAATTGTTGACAAAATAACTCTCTTTTAATAAATAAAATGCCATTCATATGTAATATATGCCCCAGAGACATGATCTTGTGTTTTCTGCTTCACCACTTGTACTGAGGAACCATACTGACCATTCATTTATACTGGAAGTCAAATTCTCTCTTGGTGTCATAATCTGGACATACCATTGTCAAGTTACATTGTGAAATCATGAAGCATTGTAGACTTTGGCTATTTTATCTTTTGGGTGTGACCCTAACTGTGCAAGTCTTGAAGTAAACTTTGAAGTGAGGGTCACCCATTACTGTTAGAGCACCTTGCCTTGCATAATATGTTGAGTGGGGTGATATCAGTTATGTGAGAAACATTTAGTACCAGGTCATTGTGACGTACATTTTATGAGGGACTGTCGCACATGCAAGAGATTTAAAGTTTACTACAGAGTATTAAGGCCTTTGACCTTTGACTTAAGTGCCTTTTCCCATGTCAGATTGAAGTGTAGTAACAAAGTGTATGTATTTTTTCACAGCTTTTTATGTTTGACAGTGTAACTTTATAGATTTCCTTTTCAACATTAGGCTTGAGTGGGTTAACCTTATAAAGCATAAAGCCACAGTGAAGTACCAACTCTTTGTGAAACGTTTAGCAATATTTAGATAATAAGATGATGTGGGCTGTGACTCGGGCTTTATGAATACCCCCCCTGGTGCTTGGCCATGGAAAAAAGAGAGTGGTTTGTTTTTGTGGTGTCTGTGATGTGTCAAATAAAGTCGGGTCGCACAATGGTGTTACAGGAGTGCAGTTGCCTGTGTAGTGATATTGAACAATGTATATGTACATCATCCATCTGGTTACAACACTTTACCAATAAACATAAAAATAACACATTGTTGGGCATGGTGTTAAGAATGCAACACGTCAGAAACATACATCAATATGTTGTTCATAGGCGGATCCAGAAATGTTCAGGGGGGGTCAGGGGGTTCGAACACCCTGAACCCCACCTTGGCTCCGCCATTGCAAAACGTTAACATCAATGTGGTCTTTAGTCATTTTCAAAAGGGAAGGTACGAACCCCCTGACACACCCCTCTGGATACGCCACTGTTGTTGAGATGTTCAGGCACAGTCTACACACAGAATGAGGGAGTAACGTACATGTTTTAGACAGCTGTATCAGTACCAAAGTGAGGCTTTGACAAGTTGTTTGTAATGTAAGCAACCCAGTCAATCTTCCATGTAGCATATTGTTAGATGGTGGATTACCTGGGGTTTATTCTGCATCTGAATAACCATAGTGATTGGGACTTTCAGAATTGTTGGACTGTTTGAAAGGAGAGCGTTGGTGTGTAAATCCTGAATACATATAACACCTGTACACCATGATTGTAAAGAATGACATCAGAGCTGCCCTGTGTACGGATGTTTGTTAGGTTATCTGCCTGGGGTGAACTAATATTCAACATTACTGCATAAGTAATCTTATCTATACATTGCCTCTAGTACTGAAGACAAAAATTTGGGATTTCCGATCTCATGTGGTAAAATCAACTGAGCTAGTCTATCACATCTATGATGGAATAATACACGAGGTCATAATCAAGTATTCGTGGCATTTGTGTGTTTGTATCAAGACACCATTTTATGGACCTCTTCTCAAACGTAAATATATGGGATTATACTTTGTCAATATGTACAGGTTCCAGTACATTTAGCCGCCTCCGTGGTGTAGTGGTTAGAGCGTCCGCCCGGTGTGCGGAAGGTCGCGGGTTCCATCACCGACCCAGTCATACCCAAAATACGTTAAAATATGGTACTTGTTGGTCCCTGCCTGGCACTCGGCATTAATGGGTACAACAAGGACTGGTCGGCTCGGAGTCAGTATAATGTGTCTGAGTGGGGTATCCATGTTTCACTGCGGCGGTATCTCTGTGAGCTATCACTATGAAACCAGCTTTGGGCAAGTACAGGCAGCCACACATACACACGCATGCACGTCGTCATATGAGAGAAACATTCTTAAGTTAAACCCTATTTCACCTCACCTCTAAAGTACTGTCGGAAATGCTAGAAAAATGCTTTTTAGCCTTAATATCTTTATAAAGGTGATAAATGAACTATGTTGTCAATATATCAACTCGCCTATTGTCTACCTAATTTTTATTTCAATCGATTTAATATTCCCATGCATTTAAAGGGCAGTTTACAGGAGAGAATTTGGTACCAAAACAGCAACTTAAGATTTTTTCAGAGTTCAACAACAGAAATCTGAAATAGTCTTTACATTTATGCTAATCATACAGGTGGTGTAAAAATATGAATTAACGTTTTTCCTAAACAAATAAATGTTGAATGTTTGTGTTACTCTACTTAATTATCGTTTATATTAATATAAATGTTAAGTCTTGATAAATAAGTTTCCCGTCATGCATGCATATCTTTATCACAGCGTCCACTATGGCCAACTATTTGCAGTCAATTGTTGCAAAGGTTGATAGTTTTTTTCTGCTTAAAAAAAGACAGAGGTAAACCTTTCATTAGTTTGGAAAGGGTTTATTACAGAACTTGCAGAGCTGTTGGCATGTCTTACCAACAAGTTTACAATATTGTAAACAAATCATACAAGACAGGGACCGTCTCAAATGCAAAACTGGGACGTGAAACCATCCTTGACAACTTTGACAAGGGAGTACTTAGACGGGCGGTCTACAAACTTTATGAGAAGAAAACTATATATATTCTAAAGAAGCTACACCAGTGACTTCGTTAAATCTTCGGCCAATGTTCACAACTAGTTTAAACTGACCGAATTACATCCATATTGTTTCAGTGAAATATACTGTTGACATGCAAAACATTTATTAAAACCTTGCACATTTCTCAAATCAATCGATAAGATAACACAAGTGATAGGATTCCTTCCAATGTACAGTAATTCGTATGTTTATTTCAAAACAAACACACATACACAAATGCTCCCTTACATAACCAATACGTATACTATACGTACACATATTCAACATTTTGCAGAAAATATCTATTGAGATGACCCCTCCCACGAGCGTGTGCTCAGGTGTCAATTTCACCTGTCGATTCCGTGCATGCTGATGACGTAACACAGGCACTTAATGTTTGTATCAAATAAGGTCCCACTACCCCTTATTTTTCTAAGTTTTTGGTATTTTTATCAGTAAAAACACATTTCAGAGCATGTCTCAAAATTTATTCCCTCGGTCTACATTAGGTAGATGTTTCTTGAACTGATATTTGTTATTTAAGTAACTGTAATACCTCTGAGGTTGAAATATAAGTCAAAAAGCATTTTTCTAGCATTTCCGACAGTACTTTAGTGCTTTTGTTGGGTTGAGTCCCATCCAGGGCCCCGTTCCTCAAAGTGATCGTAGCGCTAAGGTGATCGTAACTCCCATACTTTAACATAGACTTACGACAGTCGTAGCGCTAAGGTGATCGTAACTCCCATACTTTAACACAGACTTACGACTGTCGTAGCGCTTTGAGGAACGGGGCCCAGGATTTGAACCCCCATCCTCAGAGTCGGGACAGCTCATCGCCAGCAAAAGGGAGCCACCAAGCCCATCGATTAATTTGGGATTACACTTTCTCAGTAAGTACAATGATGGTGGGAGGGTCGAATCCCCTGGGACTCAACCCAACAAAAAATACTAGAACCTGCACTTTACTAAAAGGGTAATCCCAAATATAACGTGTTACATTTGACAACTTTCTAAATGGCAGTATGTATTCATATCATTCAGCCGTGCCAATTTACACCTATCAGAGGGATACACAAAGTCCGTGATCTAGATTAACCAATTGTCCATTTTCAAGAGTGGGTTAGATGGTGCACTTTGTGTGCTGGCGATTAGGTGCCCGACTCTTTGGGTGTGGCTTCGAATCCCGGGTGGGACTCAACCCAACAAAAGTAATAGAACCTGTCTTTTACTGAGAAAGGGTGATCCCAAATATAACATGTTACATTTGACCACTTTCTAAATGGCACGTTGTAATCATCACTCTTCTCAAACAATGAAAGCCATCATGAAACGACATCAAGGAAACAGCTTGAAGGAACAATTACTGAAGATAATGTCAGGTATATGTATATCCGAACCCCTTGTCTTTGGTGCCAAGAAACCAATGTTTGTCGTATGACGCGGCTTATTTCACTGGGTTGTCAGGCTCTGCCGGTTTATAAAGGTTTCAACGCATCTCAATCGATACCAATATCTGGTTTGTCTTGTCCGGATTGATTACTTAAAGTCGAGAGCTGGAAAAGTGCCGAGAGTGACTGTAAACAAGCAAACATAATTTCCATAGTGTTTGGCCAATACATGATTTGCTCATCAATTATTATGTTGTGGTGTGCTGTGCCTAGGTCACTCGTTGACAGTCGGTAGTCTTGATGGTTGGTTGGTTGTTTAACGCCGCACTCAGCAAACGCCTGTAAATAATCGAGTCTGGACCAGATAATCCAGTGATCAATAGCATGCGCATCGATCTACGCAACTGACTGACTGACTGAGTTTAGTTTTACGCCGCTTTTAGCAATATTCCACCAATATCACGGCGGGGGGACACCAGAAATGGGCTTAACACATTGTGCCCATGTGGGGAATCGAACCCGGGTCTTTGGCGTGACAAGCCAACGCTTTAACCACTAGGCTACCCCACCGCCCCTCTACGCAACTGGGATACGATGACGTGTCAACAAAGTCACCGAGCCTGACCACCCGATCCCGTTAGTCGCTACTTACGACAAGCATGGGTTACTGAAGACCCGGATATGCACGGGTATGGTAGTCAACCCACGCCATGTTCCCTATACGGGACCGCAACATTCGTTCTTGTCCAGCAGAAAGGTATACGAGTGGTTTGTTGTTTGACCGAATGATTTCATAAGCCTTATTTAGACATTCGTGTATTGCCATCCAAACATATCTAAGGGCAGCAGTTCCGTCGTATCAGTGTGAGCAAGTATGTCCTTGGTGCAATGTTCGTGCACGAATGTTCCTGCTGTCTTGGTGGATGGCTAAATTACTCATGGGTGTGAGGTATCAAGTCCTGTCTTTGCCATGCCCACTCTATGTGACCGGAAAACGGCTGAAAGCTACTCATTGTGTGACCGGACAGGTGTTGGAAGATAACATTGTTTCAGATGACCTTTTTGTGGACACCTACCAATATGAAGACTGTGTGTTTGATTGCGGTTGTATTTGGTGTTGTTGCGGTAAGTTTCGCCAAGTAAAACATCTCACGTTTGCGGAACAATCCTCGGCTGTGACGGTTGAGGACTAGAGTTCCGATTGGTTACATATAGATACTGACAATGTATTCTCGATAAAACTCCGTTCCTGCTCATCTTGGCATCTACAATGTTAGCTTGCCATTTCCCCCGTCGTACTTCGTCTCTTCCAATCCTTATTATCTGAACAAGGTTTTGGTTATAACCTCACTGTGTATTGTTATAAAAAACACAAGAGTTTAGGGTTCCTCCCAAACGATATATGCCAGTCCTGCCAGAAGAAAATACTAGCAACAGAGTTACCTGTTTTAACTTGAGCGTATCCGTCAAGTTATTTTGCATGTCGGCAACTGGAACGTATATGGGTGGCCACGAAGATTCAATAATTACAGTATGCGTTTTGTTCGTCATGTTCACGTTCCATTCCTTCTTTGTATCTGAAGCATTTTTTTTTACAAGCAGTCGTTCTGTTTAGTGTGACAAATGGACGACGCCGTCCATGATGTACCAGTGCCGCACCAACGCCGACTGCGACCAACAACAGTGCTGTGTTCTCTCACCCATTATCAAGAAACGGCAGATTCTATTGGATCCTTTCTACGCCCATACATGCGACGGGCTGAAAAACGAGAGTTCTGATTGGTGCATGATTCAGTCCCAGTATTCCCCTATCGCCCGCCATTACACCATGTCCTGCCCGTGCAAGCCCGGCCTCCGCTGTAAGAGACCGGATGTCCCTATGCCTGGATATGGAGACCGTTTTGGTAAATGTGTGAAACAATAATATTGCAAATAAATATATAACTCTCCATTTCATGTTATCAATAGATTTATTCCCATGTGTTAGGTTTCTTAGCTTTTCAGTACCAAGTTTAAACCCATGCTCGGAAACGTCTAGGTCATTCATAACTTTGGGCTATTCTCCCTCATCAAGAAGACAGTCTCATTACATGGTGTTACTCATACCTTCAATAGTGTTACCTACATTTCACAACCGTATACACATACTTGTCCAGTCGGGAATTCTATGCCGGAACAGGCAGAGGCAAGATGAGGTAACTTAATTATCCCAAACAAGTTGACGCCACATTGTTTGTTTGCCTGGAGAACCAGTCAACACTTAATACATATAGTAAGTAGGAGCGTTGGCACACTTGTCAGACGGTTATACAAGGTACGTGATCTAGACTACCAGTTGTCAAATTTCCATTTTGTGGATCCGATGGCTGAGCGGGTTAAATCGCTGACTTTGTGTCCTGACAATTAGGTGCCTTACTCTGAATTTGTGGATTGGAAGCACGGATGGGATTCAACCCAAATAAGTACTAGAATCTGTACTTTACAAAGAAAGTGTAATCCCAAATATAACATACGTTGCATTTGATAATCTGTCTCACGACTTGAACTCACGCGTTCATATGGAGTGGATGAGGTCAAAGTCAATCATTTGTAACAATATGTTCACACACACTTCCTGCCTTATATGTTCTTAAGTGTGACCACGCGACATGTTTTGCCATTTGCCGCGTTGTTGTGATATTTTCCAAAAGGCCGTTTCAAAGTCAGTATATATCGCATTGTCGCCCCATCTAAGATGTGTAAAAAACGGCTGCACACTGCGACATATTAGGAGTGCGCATGTGTAGTAAGTTGATTAACGCATGCGGAGAAATAGTTATACTCAGTTTAGGCTCTAGTGGTCTTTTGTTACTCCAATGGCTTTAATACCGAGGTGGTAATCATTATAGCAACGGGGGCTACTATATTTATGATAATGAGTGTGAGTAGTTGATTTAGTGGTTGTTTTATGCCGCACTCAGCAATATGAAAGATAAACACCACAGCCGCAAACCAAACAAGAAGTTGACATTATAGGCAGCGTTTGCCGATGCCGGGTTACGATGGCACACAGCCAATCAACACATTTCAGACAGACAGACAGATTTGATTAAGTGTGAGACCCTCGGCCCAAAATACAGAAAATTCAGGGTTACAAATATATCCCTGCGCATAATACATATTTACATACATACAATATACATTCTTGATAATACAATGCATGATATAGATATATTAATATATATCAACCTTATTTGTTGAGCTTAAAATGAAAATATCATAATTATGAGAAGAATTATTGAAATAAAGTTATGTTGAGAGTCAGAATTGATGTATTAACCAATAAGCGTATAACGGAAAAAAATACAAGCTTCACAGATTAAGAGTATATGATATTCATTTTCAATAAAAGTTACTTATTTTTGGATAAACAGAGAGGACAAAGTCTTTCTTCATATGGTGTGGCATCTTCCAGTGTTGACAGTTATTCTAAAGTTACATGTCGTGTGTATGGCAACAGCCAAAGCCGCACTTAAACTCCCAGAAGCTAACTTAAACATACCATTGTCTAAAAACGAAATCAAAACCAAAAAACTTCCAAACGTGGCAAAGAAAATACCAAAATTCAAACCCTAAACTAAAACATCGACTAAAACAAACACTCCAAAAACTAAAAGCTCCCATAAATCTAAAAAAATATTGACAGGGCGATAAGCAAATTACAAACACTTCACTCTAAATTAAAATCCCATCTACAGTCAGTTTGAGACAAAATGATACCGATGAATTGCAATCTAACACAAAAACAAATAGACATAAAAGAATCAAACCAACGCGGAGTGCAATAAAAACAACAGACCAACTCTAGAAAAAAATTGCATTCTGTGTGTCACAAAAATAAAAAAGTTGTTTAAGAAACTTTCATCATTTATTTGTGCGTTTTCCCAGTTTGTTACAAGGGCGCATTGGCAACTAAAGGAAAAGCGCGAAAAGCGAGATGCACGTGCGTTCTCAATCATACATAACCAGAACATACATACAGGGACACCTGTTTACTTGTGACATGTATATGCATACATTTGTTTACAATATAAACATCAGAAGTATCTCTGATATTGAGGATTCGAACGCCTAAAATCGTACCCGCCATTTCTGTTTGTCAAAAGCGGCGTTGCGACAAGAGTTGTCTACCTTCGATAAATCAGTTGGTTCCTGTTTCCGGTGGCAAACAGTGACTACTGTAGTGATAGAACTTTTGTAACGATACTCTCCGATTTCCTCTATAACCATGCGTCGGCGGGGACCCGGATAGCTGCCATCAAAACAAAACCTCGCGGAGGTAAGACTTGAATAATTACATTAAATGTCGCGGTTTGCATGTCGCATTGATGATCAGACGTTTTATACCGAGGGTACTTATGTCATCATATCTGACCGCAATGTTAAACTGAATCAGGTATTAAATCAGGGTTAGGCAAGCCTGCCCCCCCCAAAAAAAACATTTTGAAAATACCCTAAAATGAGAAAAGACAGGAACGATCAGAATTCCTTCCAATATGGCCCTGCATCATCACTGTATCTATGTTCGAACCTGTCTTTCACTAAAGTAGTGATTCAAGATTGATAAGCTCGCTACCCACTATATGACATGTAAACAAAATGGCGTGTGCCTCTCGACTGGATTTTCAAAATCAGTTAAACATATTCTGACAAGCTTAAAACTGCTATAAAAATTGTTAATTATGTTAAGTTAGGTAAAGCAGTGAAAGTTGGTAAAATAAATGTGTACATAGTGAACTCAAAAACAGCTAATCTCTCTGTTCACTGCATGCGTCATACGATTGTTAGTGATACAGCTTCTCAGCATAGAGTTTAGCGGTTACCGTGGCAGCGAGGACTGAGTTGTCCCTAGACTAGTCCCAAATACATAAGTAGGATGTGTAGGCGATGACCTTTGTAACAATGTCACGACAGAATGTTTTCACTTGTTTCCTTATATTCCTCAGGCCAGATACAAAGACAAGGGATCAGTGCTGGCTGAAGATCAGGTTGTTCAGGTATGTGGTCCTTCAGCAGAATCTGTCCAACACAGTTTGTTCAGAGTTGTCATTTCTACTGTTATGAGATGTCAGGATGTCGGCTAGAAGTATGCCTGAGTGGCCCTGGAACATGACAAGTAGGCCCTGCAACATGACGAGTATGCCCTGCAACATGACGAGTAATCCCCGCAACATGACGAATAGGCCCTGCAACATGATGAGTAATCCCCGCAACATGACGAATAGGCCCTGCAACATGACGAGTAATCCCCGCAACATGACGAATAGGCCCTGCAACATGATGAGTAAGTCCTGAAACATAAGTAGGCCCTGCAACATGATGAGTAAGTCCTGAAACATAAGTAGGCCCTACAACATGAGGAGTAAGCCAGTAACATGATGAGTAAGCCCATTATAGAATGCGTAAGCCCTGCAACTTGATGAGTAGGTCCTGCAACATGACGAATAGGTCCTGCAACATGACAAGTAGGTCCTGCCACATGATGAGTAGGCCCTGCAACATGACGAGTAGGTCCTGCAACATGACGAGTAGGCCCTGCAACATGAAAAGTAGGCCCCACAACATGATGAGTAGGCCCTGCAACATGACGAGTATGCCCTGTAACATGACGAAGTAATCCCATAACATGACGAATAGGCCCTGCAACATGACGAGTAAGTCCTGAAACATAAGTAGGCCCTGCAACATGATGAGTAGGCCCTGCAACATGATGAGTAGGCCCTGCAACATGACGAGTAGGTCCTGCCACAGGACGAGTAGGCCCTGCAACATGAAAAGTAGGCCCATTATAGAATGAGTAGGCTCTGCAACATGACGAGTAAGCCCTGCAACATGAGGAGTAAGCCAGTAACATGATGAGTAGGCCCATTATAAAATGAGTAGGCTCTGCAACATGACGAGTAAGTCCTGCAACATGAGGTGTAAGCCAGTAACATGAGGAGTAAGCCCATTATAGAATGAGTAGGCTCTGCAACATGACGAGTAAGTCCTGCAACATAAGGAGTAAGCCAGTAACATGATGAGTAGGCCCATTATAGAATGAGTAGGCTCTGCAACATGACGAGTAAGTCCTGCAACATGAGGAGTAAGCCAGTAACATGATGAGTAGGCCCATTATAAAATGAGTAGGCTCTGCAACATGACGAGTAAGTCCTGCAACATGAGGCGTTAGCCAGTAACATGAGGAGTAAGCCCATTATAAAATGAGTAGGCTCTGCAACATGACGAGTAAGTCCTGCAACATAAGGAGTAAGCCAGTAACATGATGAGTAGGCCCATTATAGAATGAGTAGGCTCTGCAACATGAGAAAATACAAAATTCAAACCCTAAACTAAAACATCGACTAAAACAAACACTCCAAAAACTAAAAGCTCCCATAAATCTAAAAAAATATTGACAGGGCGATAAGCAAATTACAAACACTTCACTCTAAATTAAAATCCCATCTACAGTCAGTTTGAGACAAAATGATACCGATGAATTGCAATCTAACACAAAAACAAATAGACATAAAAGAATCAAACCAACGCGGAGTGCAATAAAAACAACAGACCAACTCTAGAAAAAAATTGCATTCTGTGTGTCACAAAAATTAAAAAAGTTGTTTAGAAACTTTCATCATTTATTTGTGCGTTTTCCCAGTTTGTTACAAGGGCGCATTGGCAACTAAAGGAAAAGCGCGAAAAGCGAGATGCACGTGCGTTCTCAATCATACATAACCAGAACATACATACAGGGACACCTGTTTACTTGTGACATGTATATGCATACATTTGTTTACAATATAAACATCAGAAGTATCTCTGATATTGAGGATTCGAACGCCTAAAATCGTACCCGCCATTTCTGTTTGTCAAAAGCGGCGTTGCGACAAGAGTTGTCTACCTTCGATAAATCAGTTGGTTCCTGTTTCCGGTGGCAAACACTGACTACTGCAGTGATAGAACTTTTGTAACGACACTCTCCGATTTCCTCTATAACCATGCGTCGGCGGGGACCCGGGATAGCTGCCATCAAAAACAAAAACCTCGCGGAGGTAAGACTTGAATAATTACATTAAATGTCGCGGTTTGCATGTCGCATCAGACGTTTTTATACCGAGGGTACTTATGTCATCATATCTGACCGCAATGTTAAACTGAATCAGGTATTAAATCAGGGTTAGGCAAGCCTGCCCCCCCCAAAAAAAACATTTTGAAAATACCCTAAAATGAGAAAAGACAGGAACGATCAGAATTCCTTCCAATATGGCCCTGCATCATCACTGTATCTATGTTCGAACCTGTCTTTCACTAAAGTAGTGATTCAAGATTGATAAGCTCGCTACCCACTATATGACATGTAAACAAAATGGCGTGTGCCTCTCGACTGGATTTTCAAAATCAGTTAAACATATTCTGACAAGCTTAAAACTGCTATAAAATTGTTAATTATGTTAAGTTAGGTAAAAGCAGTGAAAGTTGGTAAAATAAATGTGTACATAGTGAACTCAAAACAGCTAATCTCTCTGTTCACTGCATGCGTCATACGATTGTTAGTGATACAGCTTCTCAGCATAGAGTTTAGCGGTTACCGTGGCAGCTTGAGGACTGAGTTGTCCCTAGACTAGTCCCAAATACATAAAGTAGGATGTGTAGGCGATGACCTTTGTAACAATGTCACGACAGAATGTTTCACTTGTTTCCTTATATTCCTCAGGCCAGATACAAAGACAAGGGATCAGTGCTGGCTGAAGATCAGGTTGTTCAGGTATGTGGTCCTTCAGCAGAATCTGTCCAACACAGTTTGTTCAGAGTTGTCATTTCTACTGTTATGAGATGTCAGGATGTCGGCTAGAAGTATGCCTGAGTGGCCCTGGAACATGACAAAGGCCCTGCAGGCAACATGGCATTATAGAACATGATGAGTAATCCCCAACATGAGTAGGCTCTGCAACATGAGGCCCTGCAACATGAGAGTAAGTCCTGCAACATGAGGAGTAAGCCAGTAACATGATGAGTAAGCCCATTATAGAATGCGTAAGCCCTGCAACACGATGAGGGTCCTGCAACATGGCCGAATAGGTCCTGCAACATGACAAGAGTAGGCCCTGCAACATGTAGGCCCATTATAAAATGAGTAGGCTCTGCAACATGATGAGTAGGCCCTGCAACATGATGCAAACATGAGGATAGGTCCTGCCACAGGACAGTGAGAAAAGTAGGCCCATTATAGAATGAGTAGGCTCTGCAACATGACGAGTAAGCCCTGCAACATGAGTGTAAGCCAGTAACATGATGAGTAGGCCCATTATAGAATGAGTAGGCTCTGCAACATGACGAGTAAGTCCTGCAAACATGAGGGAGTAAGCCCATTATAGAATGAGTAAGCCAGTAACATGATGAGTAAGTAACATGATGAGTAGGCCCATTATAGAATGAGTAGGCTCTGCAACATGACGAGTAAGTCCTGCAACATGAGGAGTAAGCCAGTAACATGATGAGTAGGCCCATTATAAAATGAGTAGGCTCTGCAACATGACGAGTAAGTCCTGCAACATGAGGTGTTAGCCAGTAACATGAGGAGTAAGCCCATTATAGAATGAGTAGGCTCTGCAACATGACGAGTAAGTCCTGCAACATAAGGAGTAAGCCAGTAACATGATGAGTAGGCCCATTATAAAATGAGTAGGCTCTGCAACATGACGAGTAAGTCCTGCAACATGAGGTGTAAGCCAGTAACATGAGGAGTAAGCCCATTATAGAATGAGTAGGCTCTGCAACATGACGAGTAAGTCCTGAAACATAAGTAGGCCCTGCAACATGATGAGTAGGCCCTGCAACATGATGAGTAGGTCCTGCCACAGGACGAGTAGGCCCTGCAACATGAAAAGTAGGCCCATTATAAAATGAGTAGGCTCTGCAACATGACGAGTAAGTCCTGCAACATGAGGTGTAAGCCAGTAACATGAGGAGTAGGCCCATTATAGAATGAGTAGGCTCTGCAACATGACGAGTAAGTCCTGCAACATGAGGAGTAAGCCAGTAACATGATGAGTAGGCCCATTATAGAATGAGTAGGCTCTGCAACATGACGAGTAAGTCCTGCAACATGAGGAGTAAGCCAGTAACATGATGAGTAGGCCCATTATAGAATGAGTAGGCTCTGCAACATGAGTAGGCCCCTCAACATGATGAGTAGGTCCTGCAACATGATGAGTAGGTCCTGCAACATGGCGAGTAGGTCCTGCAACATGAGGAGTAGGTCCTGCAACATGAGAAGTAGGCCATGCAGCATAATGCCCTGCAACATGATGAGTAGGCCCTGCAACATGACGAGTAGGCCCTGTAATATGACGAGTAGGTCCTGCCACATGACGAGTAGGCCCTGTAACATGAGGAGTAAGCCAGTAACATGATGAGTAGGCCCATTTTACAATGAGTAAGCCCTGCAACATGATGAGTAGGTCCTGCAACATGACGAGTAGGTACTGCAACATGACAAGTAGGTCGTGCAACATGACGAGTAGGTCCTGCAACGTGACGAGTAGGCCCTGCATGATGAGTAGGTCCTGCAACATGATGAGTAGGTCCTGCAACATGATGAGTAGGCCCTGCAACATGACAAGTAGGTCGTGCAACATGACGAGTAGGTCCTGCAACGTGACGAGTAGGCCCTGCATGATGAGTAGGTCCTGCATGATGAGTAGGTCCTGCAACATGATGAGTAGGCCCTGCAACATGACAAGTAGGTCGTGCAACATGATGAGTAGGTCCTGCAACGTGACGACGAAGGCCCTGCAGTATAATGCCCTGTAACATGACGAGTAGGCCCTGCAACATGACAAGTGGGCCCTGCAACATGATGAGTAGGCCCTGCAACATGACGAGTTGGCCCTGCAACATGACAAGTAGGCCCAGCAACATGATGAGTAGGCCCTGCAACATGACAAGTAGGCCCTGCAACATGATGAGTAGGCCCTGCAACATGATGTAGGCCCTGCAACATGACAAGTAGGCCCTGCAACATGACGTAGGCCCTGCAACACGACGAGTAAGTCCTTCAACATGATGATAAGGCCCTGTAATAAGATGAATAGGTCCACCAACATCATGGTGAGGTGGGGGTGAGGTGAAATTTGGTTTTACGCCGTGCTTGAAAATATTTCACTCATATGACTACGTGCATGCGTGTGTATGTGTATGTGCGACTGCTTGTACTAGCCCAGACTTAAGCTGGTTTTATAGTGCTAGCCCACTGAGATACCATGCCGCAGTGAAGCATGAATACCCCACTCAGACACATTATACTGACTCCGAGCCGACCAGTCCTTGTTGTACCCATTAATGCCGAGCGCCAAGCAGGGACCAACAAGTACCATATTTTAATGTCTCTTGGTATGATGCAGCAGGGGATCGAACCCGCGACCTTCCGCTCTCCGGGCGCTCTAACCACTACACCACGGGGGCGGTCCTCAACATTATGAGTTGGCCCATCAGCAAAATGATGGACCCTGCAACATTATGAACATCCTGACCACATGATGAGTTGGCTCTGCAACATGACATCAATTCTCTCAGAATGCATACTGGTACATCATTTATATGGCAGACAATAAAGAATATATTGTATACCTAAGATTATTGTAACCCTGAATAGTTCATATGAAAGTTTTGATAAACATTAAAAAGCTTGAAACTGAAACATATCCACAAATTGTCAGATGGCAAGTCAAATGGAAATGTTCAAGAAGAATCTTGAGGACTTTGCCACGAAGCACAAAGGCGACATCAAGAAGGACCCTGAGTTCCGTCTACAGTTCCAGGAGATGTGTGCCTCTATTGGAGTCGACCCTCTGGCATGTAAGTACTGGTGCGTGAGTGAGGGAGTAAGGGAGGGATATCCGTCTATAGTTTCAGGAGATGTGTGCCTCTATAGGAGTCGACCCTCTGGCATGTAAGTACTGGTGTGAGAGTGAGGGAGATCCGTCTACAGTTCCAGGAGATGTGTGCCTCTATAGGAGTCGACCCTCTGGCATGTAAGTACTGGTGTGTGAGTGAGGGAGATCCGTCTACAGTTCCAGGAGATGTGTGCCTCTATAGGAGTCGACCCTCTGGCATGTAAGTACTGGTGTGTGAGTGAGGGAGATCCGTCTACAGTTCCAGGAGATGTGTGCCTCTATAGGAGTCAACCCTCTGGCATGTAAGTACTGGTACGTGAGTGAGGGAGGGAGATCCGTCTACAGTTCCAGGAGATGTGTGCCTCTATAAGAGTTGACCCCCTAGCAAGTAAGTACTGGTGTGTGAGTGAGGACGTTCCATTGTAGATCTTAGAGTGATCATGATGTTTATCATGATATACAGCATCAGTCAATGTAGGACTATTGTGACTGATGTGTTCATCGTATTACAGCCAGCAAGGGTTTCTGGGCGGAGATGCTGGGAGTCGGAGATTTCTACTATGAACTGGGGGTACAAATTGTTGAGGTCTGTCTTGCCACAAGTCACAGGAATGGAGGTGAGTCCGGTTTTCAACCTCCATACTAGAGATATAAGATCCATGAATACTTTTCATCTATCTTGTGTTCAAAGTTACTTACGCACAGTTTCATCTTGTCATGCCATTCTCTCTCTCTCTTTTTTTATATCTCTCACTCACTCACAGATGTTTTATTGTCAGTGCTAGATTGATGGTTTCAAGTTATTGTTTGTGTACCATATTTGCAGGCCTGGTGAGCATCGAGGAGCTGCGTGAGAGGGTGGAAGCATCGCGAGGAAGACACACACAAGACATTAGCATGTAAGTACACACAGACATGCACACAGGCAGACACACAAGGGGATGGTGAGAGAAGAGGAGGGATGAAGGGAGGGATAGATGGCTCGATGGACAGAGCTGGGAAGGGCTGACAACTGTTGTTCGGTCCGTGTCAACACTGGCTTTACACATTGTGCCCATGTGTGAAACAGTCGTATTTGCACATTTTCTTTGGAATGCAAATAGAAGGTGTGCCCAATACAAAGTGCACCTGGCTACCCAAAGAATAAGAATGTTCAGTTTTCTGGATTCAAGTGTTATCTGAGAGTCTGTTAGGCAAATAATAACAAAAAATATTAAGATTATTTTCATTAAGTAGGGACAGTTTCACTGCCTTTGTTAAGAGTGTGACTGCTTGTAGTCTGAAGTATCAGAGAAGAAAGTTATCCTGCACAGTTTATCTTGTGTTTACCTACTTGTCTCACATCTGGTGTTTGTTGTAGAGATGACCTACTGCGAGCCATAAAGAAACTTAAGATCCTCGGCAATGGTTTCACCGTCATTCCGATGGGCACAACATTCATGATACAGTCTGTGCCAGGGGAGCTAACTATGGATCACACTACTCTCCTCACACAAGCACAGGCAAGTCTGTCTTCACATACATCAGGGAAATCTGACTTGTAGTTGTTGTCCGTGGACATTGAAGTCTTGTCAAAGCATGTTTTGTGTCATGTATATCTGGGAACAACACTTGTCCTGTTTATAAGCATTCAGTAATGAGAAACTGGGCATCGGTGCCTGTTGAATTATTATCAAGCTCTTGTTATGGTACCTTTAGGAATCCTGCATTCTGATCGATCAGCCAGGGGTATCAAAAGTACATTGAGACCTTGATTTAATTGATAGCCTCATCATTAATACTGAAGAATATATATGTTTGAAATTGTTTTTTTCTCTACTGCAACTGGTAGGCGATTTCAGGTACTGATGTCCATACTGTGTGCTGCTGGGTATCAGCTTGTCCAGCAGTGTATTCAGGACAGGAAACCAAATGAACAGATGATAACTAAATAACGTAATCTCTTAACTCAGTTACGTCACCCTAGCTTGTCACATAGTCTGTCACAGTGATGACTACATCCGTCACTTCATCTTCTGTTTTGTCATGATCAGGATTTTTGTTTAAGTACGTTTTAGGAATGTTACACTCTAATTACCTCATGATTGAGGGCAGGATGAGAAATACCTGTTCATATGACAAAACATTTGTTGTGGGAGCCATTTAATATTCCATTAAGTGTGGAAAGTTCTGATATTAAGGTATCAGTATATAAACTAAATGTATCTGACATTTCTTGTCGGCAGTGGCAATGATGATGTTATGTTAGGTGACAGAGCAAATGCTTCATTCATTCACATCAAATTGTCAGTACTGTGTATCTGTACTAACCCAGCTTGTTGTCACAGGGAGAGAGATTGTCATATGATTGTCACAAGTGTCACTGTGATATTATGTTGCAGGCTAAAGGCTACGTGACCAAGAGTCAGCTGGAGAAGGAGCTGAAGTGGGAAGAGGAGCGAGCTCGGCGGGCGCTGGTATGTGGAGGTGGTTGTATCATGGGGGTGGAAACAATCGGGGTGAATCCAGGATATAACAGGCCCCTGTATTCTATGATTGTCACGGCAGGGGCTGGTATGTGGAGGGGTGTGTGCCTTAGGGGTGGTAACAATCGGGGGGATTCCATGATATAACAGGTCCCTGTATTCTATGATTGTCTGGGCTTGGCAGGAGCTGGTATGTGGAGGGGCGTGTGTCATGGGGGTGGCAACAATCAGGGGGATTCCATGATATAACAGGTCCCTGTATTCTATGATTGTCTGGGCTTGGCGGGAGCTGGTATGTGGTGGGGTGTGTGCCTTGGGGGTGGTAACAATCAGGTTGATTCCAGGGTATAACAGGTCCCTGTATTCTATGATTGTCACGGCAGGTGCTGGTATGTGGAGGGGCGTGTGCCTTAGGGGTGGTAACAATCGGGGGGACTCCATGATATAACAGGTCCCTGTATTCTATGATTGTCTGGGCTTGGCAAGAGCTGGTATGTGGAGGGGCGTGTGTCATGGGGGTGGCAACAATCGGGGGGATTCCATGATATAACAGGTCCCTGTATTCTATGATTGTCTGGGCTTGGCGGGAGCTGGTATGTGGAGGGGTGTGTGCCTTGGGGGTGGTAACAATCAGGTTGATTCCATGATATAACAGGTCCCTGTATTCTATGATTGTCTGGGCTTGGCGGGAGCTGGTATGTGGTGGGGTGTGTGTCATGGGGGTGGTAACAATCAGGTTGATTCCAGGGTATAACAGGTCCCTGTATTCTATGATTGTCACGGCAGGTGCTGGTATGTGGAGGGGCGTGTGCCTTGGAAGTGGTAACAATCAGGGTGATTCCATGATATAACAGGTCCATGTATTCTATGATTGTCTGGGCTTGGCGGGAGCTGGTATGTGGAGGGGTGTGTGCCTTGGGGGTGGTAACAATCAGGTTGATTCCAGGGTATAACAGGTCCTTGTATTCTATGATTGTCACGGCAGGTGCTGGTATGTGGAGGGCGTGCCTTGGAAGTGGTAACAATCAGGGTGATTCCATGATATAACAGGTCCCTGTATTCTATGATTGTCTGGGCTTGGCGGGAGCTGGTATGTGGAGGGGTGTGTGCCTTGGGGGTGGTAACAATCAGGTTGATTCCATGATATAACAGGTCCCTGTATTCTATGATTGTCTGGGCTTGGCGGGAGCTGGTATGTGGTGGGGTGTCTGTCATGGGGGTGGTAACAATCAGGGTGATTCCAGGGTATAGTAGGTCCCTGTATTCTATGATTGTCACGTCAGGTGCTGGTATGTGGAGGGCGTGTGTCATGGGGGTGGCAACAATCAGGGTGATTCCATGATATAACAGGTCCCTGTATTCTATGACTGTCTGGGCTTGGCGGGAGCTGGTATGTGGAGGGGTGTGTGCCTTGGGGGTGGTAACAATCAGGTTGATTCCATGATATAACAGGTCCCTGTGTTCTGTGATTGTCTGGGCTTGGCGGGAGCTGGTATGTGGAGGGGTGTGTGCCTTGGGGGTGGTAACAATCAGGTTGATTCCAGGGTATAACAGGTCCCTGTATTCTGTGATTGTCTGGGCTTGGCGGTGCTGGTATGTGGAGGGTGCCTTGGGGTGGTAACAATCAGGTTGATTCCAGGGTATAACAGGTGGCAACAATCAGGGGGCTCGTGTCATGAGGGTGGATTCCAGGCTGATTCCATGATATAACAGGTCCCTGTATTCTATGATTGTCACGTCAGGTGCTGGTATGTGGAGGGGTGTGTGCCTTGGGGGTGGTAACAATCAGGGGGATTCCATGATATAACAGGTCCCTGTATTCTATGATTGTCTGGGCTTGGCAGGAGCTGGTATGTGGAGGGGTGTGTGCCTTGGGGGTGGTAACAATCAGGTTGATTCCAGGGTATAACAGGTCCCTGTATTCTGTGATTGTCTGGGCTTGGCTGGGAGCTGGTATGTGGAGGGGGTGGCAACAATCAGGTTGATTCCAGGGTATAACAGGTCCCTGTATTCTATGATTGTCACGGCAGGTGCTGGTATGTGGAGGGGCGTGTGTCATGGGGGTGGCAACAGGGTGATTCCATGATATAACAGGGTCCCTGTATTCTATGATTCCAGGGTATGTGGAGGGGTGTGTGCCTTGGGGGTGGTAACATATAACAGGTCCCTGTATTCTATGATTGTCACGTTTGCAGGTGCTGGTATGTGGAGGGGCGTGTGTCATGGGGGTGGCAACAATCAGGGTGATTCCAGGGTATAACAGGTCCCTGTATTCTATGATTGTCACGTCAGGTGCTGGTATGTGGAGGGTGGGGGTGGTAACAATCAGGGGGATTCCAGGATGTCCCTGTATGTGATTGTCTGGTTGGCAGGTGCTGGTATGTGGAGGGGCGCGTGTCATGGGGGTGGCAACAATCAGGTTGATTCCAGGGTATAACAGGTCCCTGTATTCTATGATTGTCACGTCAGGTGCTGGTATGTGGAGGGGTGTGTGTCATGGGGGTGGTAACAATCAGGGTGATTCCAGGGTATAACAGGTCCCTGTATTCTATGATTGTCTGGGCTTGGCAGGTGCTTGTATGTGGAGGGGCATGTGTCATGGGGGTGGGGTGTCATGGGGAATGGCAACAATTAGGGTGATTCCAGGATATAACAGATCCCATGTGTTCCATGATTGTCACTAGTGCTGAATAATGAAGATCAAATTGATCTGACCAACTTGTTTCCTACTTGTGTGACTTAACATATTCAAGACTGAAAGACAAAATATTATCCCATAATAGTTTGTGATAGTAATGAATGATTTGGGTATATGTTACATCCTGTAGTGAAGCATGACAGTAGATATGACCTGAAATATTCTTAATGGATGATAGAGGTAAGACAGTTTGTGTTTGGTAATCCGTAGTACTGCTATGATTTGTCAAACTTTCATTCACTCAGCAAGGCAAATGAGTCTCCCAAAGGTAGGGGCGGTGGAGTAGCCTAATGGTTAAAGTCTCCACTCGTCATGCTGAAGACCAGGGTTCGATTCCTACATGGGTACAATGTGTGAAGTACATTTCCTGCCGTGTCCCCTGCCGTGATATTGCTGGAATATTGCTAAAAGCGTTATAAGACCATACTCGCTCACTCCCAAAGATGATCTCAGGTCGCCTGACCTGAGCAAGTTCCTGGCCAAGATGAGTCCCGCTGGTTGTTGGTGTATGACGTTGACAGGTCTCCATCACCTCTCAGACATGTATATTGGGGGAAGGTCTGGGCCCATTGCTCCATGGCAGCCTGTTGTGCTGCAGAATGTGAGCATTGGTGATTCAGGAATTGTGAGCATTGTTGTCCAGACAGATGAATTGTTGACCCACCTGCACACAGGACAACAAATACTATAGATCAGCACATATACCCCATATAGACATTTATATGAATATCATCGTTATTTGTATGATTTTTAGCACACATATACTCACATTTGGACACATACTATACATTGAGTTTAGATATGTATTAGGGGTCGCTCAATTTCCTGCATGTCTCAAAACACACAAACATAATATTATATTCCAACTGATTTAAATATTCCTTCTGTTTCTTTGTGACAGGACTTCATGGTGAAGGAGGGGTTGGCATGGGTCGACGACGTCCCTCGTGGTGATCGCCAATTCTGGTTCCCTAGTCTGTTCCCAGCATGCACTGCCACATGATCATGGCCTGACCAAGATGTTGAATGATGAGCCATGTTATGTAGCTGACATCCCCAGCTCCATGTGTATACAGAAGGGTGTGGTTTGTTGGAAGCTACATCGGTACAACCCAGAGTGCAACTTGCTTACATCTCATTTTAGGTACAGTTCATAATTTATGGCTTTGTGTGGGGAGAAAGGAAAGGAGATGACGATTTTAAGGGGGGTCACCCATTTTGTTCTTGGGAGGTAGAAGGGTCATCAATTTTGTACAGTATTGGGTGGTGGGGTGGTGTCATCAATTTTGCACATAAAAATTATTAAGAAGACATTCTTTAAAATTATGGGAAGGGGTGGGGGTGCACTTACTTTGTACATAAATGTTAGGGGTGTCATTCACATTGTACATCCTTTTCCATAAATATCATCATCATCCCCCTAGCCATGACTTATGAACAGTCCCTTAGATAAACAAGTATTTCTTTTGACACAATCACTACAGTACATGGATAGTTAATGATTATATCCCATGACCAGCTCAATACGTTGAGTGGTATGCCTCATGCAGTGAGCCCCCTGATAATTGTCTGGTATTAGGGCCAGCAAATAGTTCCTGCGCCGATTTTTCACAACTCCTGTCTAACACAGACTTTACATGTCATAGATCAAAGATCAGGTTGTCAAAATATGTTATAAATATGCACACGTTGTTTATTTTGATCTGTATTGGTTATTTGATGAGTTGCTGCTGTAGCGATGTATTCTATGTTAATTTTGTTCAAAAGACGTCACGGTCCAACTACTTGTAACGCAATGGAACACTTCATACCCCGGGAATAACAATAAACATGCTGTTGAGATGGACGTATAAAGCTCGAAGCACCTGTAAAATATGCCTCGTGCGTACTGTGATTCAACCTCATTTGGCCGTTTTGTACAATGTTCGAATGGTTTACGGTGACATTTCGTGAGTAAACACTTGCTACCAAATGATGACAGGGGAATAAGTCTTTGGTAGTACCTCTAACAAAATAATGTATGCTGATGTCAGATAGTGTATAAATATGTTGTTAAGAGTGTATTTTGAGTTATTTTCCAAAACCCAGCAAGATGGATAAAGTTTATTAGTAGGTGACAGGTTCTACACGTTAATATGAGTTCATTATTTCATTAACACCAATTCAGCCGGCCCCTCCATCATGGTTAATAAAGTATGTGTTTATTACCAACTACCAATTCTGTCAAACCAGGGACAGTGAATAGTGGAAGAGGAATGTGTATATGTACCTGGCAGTGTAGTCATTTATCTAGTCAGTCACTAAATCTTGTTATGTGCTACACCCTACATTGGTTTCCCTCCGATGTTATGTAATAAACTATACTGTGCACCTGGCCGAGATGTGTTGTGTTATCCTATCCTTAAGGTCCGTTTTACCAAGGTGACAGGTCCCTGTCCACGTGAAGTGAACAGCCTTTACATAGTTTGAATGTGGTAAGTGTATCGGCATGAGAACACCAGCTGGTCACAGGTCTCGGGACTCAGACTTCAAGGGTGTGGTACCGACAGACCATAATCAGGGTAACTGAACCCACAGTCACAGGATCCTGACAGGGTAAGGAAAACAACTACGACTCCCCACTGGGTTATCGGAGTCAATGAGTTCACTTCTTGGATGCAGGGACCGAGGACAAGGAAACTTAGCATTATTGACACTTATCTATAACTTGCCAGTATCACGTCCTACTTGTGATTGGTCCGCCCCCGTGGTGTAGTGGTTAGAGCATCCGCCCGGAGAGCGGAAGGTCGCGGGTTCGATCCCCGACCGCATCATACCAAAAGACGTTAAAATATGGTACTCGTTGGTCCCTGCCTGGCGCTCGGCATTAATGGGTACAACAAGGACTGGTCGGCTCGGAGTCAGTATAATGTGTCTGAGTGGGGTATTCATGCTTCACTGCGGCATGGTATCTCAGTGGGCTAGCACTATAAAACCAGCTTAAGTCTGGGCTAGTACAAGCAGCCACACATACACATACACACGCATGCACGTCGTCATATTAGCGAAATATTCTCAAGCACTATGTAAAACCCAATTTCACCTCACCTCACCTACTTGTGATTGACCGCCTCCGTGGTGTAGTGGTTAGAACGTCCGCCCGGAGAGCGGAAGGTCGCGGGTTCAATCCCCGACCGCGCCATACCAAAAGACGTTAAAGTATGGTACTTGCTGGTCCCTGCCTGGCGCTCGGCATTAATGGGTACCGTACAACAAGGACTGGTCGGCTCGGAGTCAGTATAATGTGTCTGAGTTGGGTATTCATGCTTCTCTGCGGCCTGGTATCTCAGTTAGCTAGCACTATAAACCAGCTTAAGTCTGGGCTAGTACAAACAGCCACACACGCACGTCGTCATATGAGCGAAATATTCTCAAGTACGAACGTTAAACCCCATTTCATCTCACCTCACCTACTTATAATGTCGGCGGTTTTCCAGGAGCTGCATCAATTCCCCACATTGGTGCAATATGTGAAACCCATTTTTGGTGTCCCCCGCCGTGGTATTGCTGTAATATTGCTAAAGGTGGCGTAAAAGTAAACTCACTCACTCTCTCCAGGAGCTCCAGGACGACGGGTGTCACGTTGCCAGATTTGGTCGACTAAGTTGGGCATCTTGTACCTACCTCGTCCAGTGACCGGTTCACTGCTCCAGATTATACGCATGCTGACCACCTCGATATACCTCGTATATGGTTTAGTGCGGCGTTAGACATTTGTGCAACACAATCCTTTGAAACGATAAGACCAAAATATACACCAGTATTACACTCCACTTTTGTTTCAAAGGATGACATAAGTTGCCTGATACATTCCAATACCAATATCGTTTCCTCTTTTCTGAATAGTGCGTTGACCTACCTTGCAAGTTTAGAATTAAAATCAAATCAATATCAGGTGAGCTAAGAACTAAGTGGCTAAATTTTGTGTAGAATGAGCCCGCCTTTGATATATATATGTAAAAGAAGATGAAGTTGAAATAAGTTTGGCAGACGTTTTCAGCTGGTGCATTCTGTAAATTCTGTACCTGCTTCTTCAGGCCGTTTAATGCAGTGACTGGCACACTTTGTAGCACTATAACGTCACACAGGACGTACATGTATATCGTACATAGTAGAACATGATCACACAGGACGTACATGTATATCGTACATAGGAGAACATGATCACACAGGACGTACATCTATATCGTACACATGATCACACAGGACGTACATATATATCGTACATAGTAGAACATGATCACACAGGACGTACATATATATCGTACATAGGAGAAGATGATCACACAGGACGTACATGTATATCGTACATAGTAGAACATGATCACACAGGACGTACATATATATCGTACATAGAAGAACATGATCACACAGGACGTACATATATATCGTACATAGTAGAACATGATCACACAGGACGTACATATATATCGTACATAGGAGAAGATGATCACACAGGACGTACATATATATCGTACATAGGAGAACATGATCACACATGACGTTCATGTATATCGTACATAGGAGAAGATGATCACAAAGGACGTACATGTATATCGTACATAGGAGAACATGATCACACAGGACGTACATATATATCGTACATAGGAGAACATGATCACACAGGACGTACATGTATATCGTACATAGGAGAACATGATCACACAGGACGTACATATATATCGTACATAGGAGAAGATGATCACACAGGACGTACATATATATCGTACATAGGAGAAGATGATCACACAGGACGTACATGTATATCGTACATAGGAGAACATGATCACACAGGACGTACATCTATATCGTACATAGGAGAACATGATCACACAGGACGACATGATCACACATACGTACATATATATCGTACATAGGAGAAGATGATCACACAGGACGTACATATATATCGTACATAGGAGAAGATGATCACACAGGACGTACATGTATATCGTACATAGGAGAAGATGATCACACAGGACGTACATATATATCGTACATAGAAGAACATGATCACACATGACGTACATATATATCGTACATAGGAGAAGATGATCACACAGGACGTACTTCTATATCGTACATATGAGAACATGATCACACATGACGTACATATATATCGTACATAGGAGAACATGATCACACATGACGTACATATATATCGTACATAGGAGAAGATGATCACACAGGACGTACATATATATCGTACATAGGAGAAGATGATCACACAGGACGTACATGTATATCGTACATAGGAGAACATGATCACACAGGACGTACATATATATCGTACATAGGAAAAGATGATCACACAGGACGTACTTCTATATCGTACATATGAGAACATGATCACACATGACGTACATATATATCGTACATAGGAGAACATGATCACACAGGACGTACATGTATATCGTACATAGGAGAAGATGATCACACAGGACGTACATGTATATCGTACATAGGAGAAGATGATCACACAGGACGTACATGTATATCGTACATAGGAGAACATGATCACACATGACGTACATATATATCGTACATAGGAGAACATGATCACACATGACGTACATATATATCGTACATAGGAGAACATGATCACACAGGACGTACATGTATATCGTACATAGGAGAACATGATCACACAGGACGTACATGTATATCGTACATAGGAGAACATGATCACACATGACGTACATATATATCGTACATAGGAGAAGATGATCACACAGGACGTACATGTATATCGTACATAGGAGAATATGATCACACAGGACGTACATGTATATCGTACATAGGAGAACATGATCACACAGGACGTACACAGGACGTACATATATATCGTACATAGAAGAACATGATCACACAGGACGTACATGTATATCGTACATAGGAGAAGATGATCACACAGGACGTACATATATATCGTACATAGGAGAAGATGATCACACAGGACGTACATGTATATCGTACATAGAAGAACATGATCACACAGGACGTACATATATCGTACATAGGAGAACATGTATATCGTACATAGAAGAACATGATCACACACGACGTAGATGTATATCGTACATAGGAGAACATGATCACACAGCGTCAACCTGTTGACACCAATACCCGACAATCTTCAGTGGTATATGTTTATCCACTCTTTACCAGACTTTGGCAGATACTTATGAGTACGGTGTGGATCAGTAAACATGGACATGTGTCAACGTGCCGGTGATCACTTTCAAGTCGTGTCTTTTGGTGGCAGCGACAAAATAATACTTTGTCATCCCAACCTTGGCCAAAAGCAGAAATGAGTGGTAATCTCATCATCAGCGTCAAGACCCTGAGAGGAACATTCAAGCGATCTTTAAACTCTGGCGAGCCTAGGCAACACAATTCTACCCTGCCCGTAAGACTCGTGAAATGTGTTAATAAGGTTTTTTATAGTAGGTCGAATCCAATTTTCATGTGCATACTTCCAGCATCCCGGCAGTTAGGGGTAGTTTTTGTAGTTGTCATTGTTAATTGAATTGTAATATATGTTTACAATACGTTGAATATTAAAGTGGTTTGATTAATTAGGAGATTTGTATAGGCAATTCTGTGGTAGCCTGTAATCTCTGTCCAGCGTCGAACAACAGCCACTCACCGTTTGCCCTTACACGTAACTGGGTTCTAAAATAATATGAACAGCAATGTAATAGCAATATGATGTTTTTATTGAGTTTTTTTGCGTCAATCTACGAACACGTAATCTGTCGATAGTCCAACAGCGCATGTTCACATTTAACTTGTGTATACACAGTAACCCAAAGGGAAAAAGAAATTATACCGAGTTTGTATTTCATGTAATTGAAAATTGAAAAACCTTTGTTAAAACTGATGTTGTCTATTTTACCATCACACGTTCCCGCAACAGTTTGTGAAAAGTAATCTGTGGCTAGGTAATTGTGTGTACAAATGAATTGCTTCAGTGAAGACTTGGGGAAGAAATGAATGTACAACCACATGACCCCTGTCGTGTTTTGAATTTTGTAAAATGTAACCGAAAAAAAGCGAATATATCGATTTCCAAAGGTTAGACATTAGCGGTTGTGCATAATGGGGACTTTTCAGAATGTTGATAATATTTAAATCAAGTTATATTTTTAAAACAAAGCAGTCATGTGGAGATATTCTTTGAGTACTGAAAAGACAGTGAGGGTACTGTTCATTTTGTATATATCGCTAATTTAAGATAATAAGAAAGAAATCAAACAGATGGTAAAATCAACTTAAAGCTACAGTTTCTTCTTTCCTCAGCCATGGTTAAGGTCCCAGTTTGCGGTTCGGTACAA